ATGGACCCTCACAGGTGTTCCAGGGACTTCATGAGTGGAAATTACACCTATAACTTTGGCTGCCTAATTCTGACGTCTTTAAAATGGCTCCACAACTGGATACCTGCATTGATGTTTCTCACCAGGGAAAGGAGTCTGGAAGAACTGAATTATATTTTCCTATCTCTAAACACTGAAAGAAGAGAAGGTGTTATTAGTTAGAAGACAGATGTGATTAAAATACTTATAATGCTCATGGCTGTAAGAGCATACTTGCTTCCACTGTTTCTGTGGTCTTTTCCTTTCATTTATTCGTGGTGAGCCTTCATGCCTCCTGCTTTCAAGTGACGGTAGTGGTATGGACACAAGCTGTGATGGGGTTTGACTCCCATTTCCTAAGCTTTCTGGCTGTGTTCAGCTTGACCATCCAGCCTCTTTGGGTCAGGAGGAGGTGACCATTAAATGAGATAATAAAAGCAAAAGGCTTTGCTCAGCCCTAGGCCCTTAGTATAAATCTTAAAGGTACTAGGCATCTTGAGGCTGATTTCATTCTTGTCTTTCAAAGGAAAAGCTAATATGGTTTTTCAAAATACTCCCGTGTAAACCTTTAGGGACCATCCTAATTCCAACTCATTAAAGCCTTTCAAATCTTTCTGGTTACCATGGCCAGGTGCCCCAGCATCTACAGGACCTGTCTGCTGTTCTTAACAGTGGGGTTGCATTCTCTGTTAGGCTGGCAGGTTATGTCTAAATGCTGGGTATTTTAGGGGCCAAGCCGACAAGCAGGCACAGGTTTGGAGCTGTGATCCATTAAAAAACTACATGGTTTTATGGCCTAGAACAGAGGTCAGCAAACTTTCTATAAAGGCCATTTTCCAGTTTGTCAGCCACCTCTCCTACCCCCATCCTCTCTGTCATACCTGCTCAACTCTATCAGTGTATCTAGAAAGCAGCCAGAGACATAAGCAAATGGCCGTGGCTGTGTTCCACCAAAACTTTACGGACACTGACATTTGAATTTCATATAATTTTTATGTGCCATGAAATATGTTTTTATTTTTTCAATCATTTAAACATGTAAAAGCCATTCTGGGCTCATGGTGTGTACAGACAGTGGGTAGATTTGACCTATAGTCCGTGGTTTGCTGACCCCTTGCCTAGAAGAATGTTAGACTCCTAAGTCCTATAGGTTTGTGGCATCATCAAGCTACCCCCTGCCCCCACACCCCTGCCTGCACACAGTGTCATTTGCCTTAAGTATTCTATGCTTTTGGTATGGCCGCATTACTTAAGGCCCCTGTCTTCCTCTATCAGGATGAAACTCCGTCAGGTTAGATGTTCTCAGTTATAGTGTGTGGCTTTCCCTTTTTAAAAAAAAAAATTTTTTTTTAATGTTTTTATTTACTTTTGAGACAGAGAGAGACGGAGCATGAGCAGGGGAGGGGCAGAGAGAGAGGGAGACACAGAATCTGAAGCAGGCTCCAGGCTCTGAGCTGTCCGCACAGAGCTGGATGTGGGGCTCAAACTCACGGAGTGTGAGCTCATGACTTGAGCTGAAGTCAGACGCTTAACTGACTGAGCCACCCAGGCGCCCTATCCCTTCTTAGCAGTATATTACTATATCACCAGTAAGTTTTATGTATTGTTAAAAATGTTCTTACCTTGCCCAGCTTTCCATAGGTCTTGATGTTTGACCCCTGTCCTGTGTGATGGTTTTGAGAGGAATCAGTGCCTTTGGAGCTGTCTTATGCTTCAAGTTCCTGTTGTCCCCTTGTCCTGACGGATGTAACTAATACACTAGGCCATCAATCTGCTGACTAGACGCTCTTACCTTAAGGAAATCTGTGTGTGGACTCCCCCACCTCCTTTCTGCATGATGTTTGGTTAACTAAAGCACACAAAGATTCCTCTTGTGCTCTAACCTCTGGAGACTAGCTCCAGGATTGATGTGTACAGAGCATGTAGATGTATATGTCTGTGTGTAATTTCATCCGGCCATCGCTGCAACGCTGAGGGCTGCTGCTTTTAGTTTCCCTTTTTCTTTCTCTTGACCCTTCTCTCTTGGTCATAGTATGGGATGCAGATTTGGTGACCTGGTATTTGCTGTAACTAATTCATTTATATTTTGTCTCCCTTTCTGCCTTTTAATATTCTCCACTAATTTGCTTGTTTTGCCTCAACTATGTTTTTTTTTTGGAGTTTAACTTTTCAAAACAACAACATTATGCTAAAAATAAAACCACTAGAAGTTACTGGGCAATTTAGAATTCCCCCCTCCAAATATAAACTGAATGTAATATCAGTTATGCACCAATATTTTAGATATTTAAAGATAAGATGCAGTTTTTAAAATATTTTGCCATTTATTATTATTTTTTTTTAATTTTTTTTTTCAACGATTTTTATTTATTTTTGGGACAGAGAGAGACAGAGCATGAACGGGGGAGGGGCAGAGAGAGAGGGAGACACAGAATGGGAAGCAGGCTCCAGGCTCTGAGCCATCAGCCCAGAGCCTGATGCGGGGCTTGAACTCACGGACCACGAGATCGTGACCTGGCTGAAGTCGGACGCTTAACCGACTGCGCCACTCAGGCGCCCCTATATTTTGCCATTTAATCTAGATAGTAGTAAAATATGTTATTGCTCTTAGAATTTAAGTGTTTCTTTTTTTTAGTTTTCAAAAAGTGTTTATTTTTGAGAGAGAGAGTCAAGTGTAAGTGGGGATGGGGGGCAGAGAAAGGGAGACAGAATCTGAAGCAGCCTCCAGGCTCTGAGCTGTCAGCACAGAGCCCGATGAGGGGCCTGAACTCATGAGTCATGAGATCATGACCTGAGCCGAAGTCGGATCCTCAACCGATGGAACCACCCAGGTGCCCAAGGGTTTCCTTTTTTTTTTTTTTTATAAATTTTTTTTTTAATGTTTATTTATTTTTGAGAGAGAGACAGAGCGTGAGCAGTGGAGGGGAGGAGAGAGGGAGACACAGAATCCGAAGCAGGCTCCAGGCTCTGAGCTGCCAGCACAGAGCCTGATGCAGGGCTCGAACCCACGAACCGTGAGATCATGACCTGAGCCTAAGTCAGAAGCTTAACCAACTGAGCCACCCAGGCGCCCCTCCTTTTTTTTTTTTTTTTTAAAGGCAAATTTGGTACATATTTTTTTAATTTTTTTTTTCAACGTTTTATTTTTATTTATTCTTGGGACAGAGAGAGACAGAGCATGAACGGGGGAGGGGCAGAGAGAGAGGGAGACACAGAATCGGAAACAGGCTCCAGGCTCTGAGCCACCAGCCCAGAGCCTGACGTGGGGCTCGAACTCCCGGACCGCGAGATCATGACCTGGCTGAAGTCGGACGCTTAACCGACTGCGCCACCCAGGCGCCCCAATTTTTTGGATGACAATTTAGGCAATATGCATTCAAAGTCCTAAAATGGCAAGTCCACATCTAGAAATTTATCTTAAAGAAACGGTCAAATGTACATAGGTGTGTGTGCTAGACTGCTCATTGCCCCATTTTTTAATAATAGCAAAACATAGGGGGCGCCTGGGTGGCTCACTAGGTTAAGCGTCGGACTTCCCCTCAGGTCATGATCTTTCAGTTCCTGGGTTGGAGCCCCTCGTTGGGCTCTCTGCTGACGGCTCAGCCTGCTTCGGATTTTGTGTCTCCCTCTCTCTCTGCCCCTCCCTGCTCATGCTCTTTCTCTCTTTCTCTCTCTCAAAAAATAAACATTAGAAAATTAAAAAAATAGTAATAATAGCAAAACATAGAAAGTAAGCCAAATGCTTGTGAAAGGACTGATTAAGTCTATCAGGACCTAACCATGCAGTGAAATACTGTGCAGTCTTTAAAAGGGATGATGCGGGGCGCCTGGGTGGCTCAGTTGGTTAAGCGTCCGACTTCAGCTCAGGTCACGATCTCCTGGTCCGTGAGTTTGAGCCCCGTGTTGGGCTCTGGGCTGATGGCTCAGAGCCTGGAGCCTGCTTCCGATTCTGTGTCTCTCTCTGTCCCTCCCCCATTCATGCTCTGTCTCTGTCTCTGTCTCAAAAATAAATAAACGTTAAAAAAAAAAAATTAAAAGGGATGATGCAAGGGGTGTCTGGCTGTCTTACTCAGTAGAGCGTGCAACTCTTGATCTCGGCGTGAGTTTGAGCCCCATGTTGGGGTAGAGATTACTTAAAAATAAAATCTTAAAAGAAAAAAGATGATGCAGGCCGATATTCATTGACATAGAATGATGTTTAGGAAAAAGAGGGTAGTATGAGAATATGTGTAACACGTGAATTTTTTTGTTATTGACGTATGATTTCTTAAGGTGGACAAAACCCCGTGTATAGAAACTTAAAAGGAAGTATCTGAAAGGATATATCCCAAATAATGGGAATTTGTTATCTCTAGGTAATAAGATTGTGGGTGTTTTAAAAAAAATACATTTTTCTCATGTAGCATTTGCTTTTATAATCAGGAAAAATAATAAAGATACTGAAGAATAAATATAGCAATGAAAATATCTATTTGTGGCTAATTGAACTGTCTTGACTACTTCCCTTCATAGTGTGTGTTGTATTAGATGTGAAATACGCTTTCTCATATATCTTAAAAATGTTTTCTGTTTTTTTTTTAAATGCTTTCTATTTTGCTAATAAGAATATTTTCCAGACCTTTCTAATAGGACAGAAAAAAATCCATACAGAATTAAATAACAGTTTTCAGAAGAAACTTACTGAACACATTTGCATGATAGTACATTGTGCCTCATTTCTTGTGAAAGATTCTCCCGCTGTTGAAATTCCTGTAATATCATAAGTAATTTGTGTGTACGGAGGCAGTATAGTGTAGCATTTAAAACCTGAGCTTCACTACTTACTATCTGTGTTACTTTTCTCCATTTAGGGCCTCAGTCTCCTCATATGTAAGATGTTGGCAATACAGGGGCGCCTGGCTGGCTCCCTCGGTAGAGCACGTATGCAACTCTTGATCTCAGGGTCACGAGTTCAAGCCCCGTTGGATGTAGAGCTTACTGAATGAATGAACAAATGAACGGATGAATGAATGGAAATGCAGGCAATACCTTGGTAAGTTGTTGTGAAGATTGAAGGCAGCAAGTGGTTAGTAGAGTGCCAGATACTTAGCAGTCATTAAGGAGGAAGAAGTGGTGGGACTGGTAAAGGTACATGGTAACAATGGTAATGATAGTGATAGTATCAGTGATGATAATGTCAGCTGCTAATATTTCCCTCCTTCTAGAGGCATGCTTGCATGAGGGCAGAGCCTTGTTTGCCACATTCACCAGCCTAAACCCTCTAACCAGAGCGGGTATCTTGACCAAGACAGGAGTGTGATCGAGGTTCAGCCTAGTCACGTCATGCTCCCTTTACCCGTGCTGTCTCTGTCCACTATCAAGTTGTTCAGGGGCTAACAGCTCACTAGCTTAGACGTGGTACTCCATAAATATTTGTTGAATGGATAGTGACCTAAAGTAAGCATTTTCTTCCTGTTGACAATGCATAGTGACAAACCTTTAAAAGAAGGTTTTGGGGGGCGCCTGTGTGGCTCACTCAGTCAGTCAAGCGTCTGAGTTCGGCTCACAGTCTGTGAGTTCAAGCCCTGCGTCGGGCTCTGTGCTGACAGCTCAGAGCCTGGAGCCTGCTTCGATTTCTGTGTCTCCCTCTCTCTCTGCCCCTCCCCCATTCATGCTCTGTCTCTCTCTGTCCCAAAAATAAATAAACGTTTAAAAAAACAAATAAAAGAAGGTTTTGGTCATCTTTAAAGTATATGGAAGGAGGAGCACCCGGGTGGCTTAGTCAGTTGAGCGTCGGCTTTGGCTCAGGTCATGATGTCATGGACCGTGAGTTGGAGCCCCGCATTAGGCTTTGCACCGACAGCGCGAACCTGCTTCTGATTCTCTGCCTCCCTCTCTCTCTCTCCCCCTCCGCCACTCATGCTCCCCCTCTCAAAATTAAACATTAAAATAATAATAAAGCATATTGAAGAAAATGCCAGGCACAAAAACTGTTAGAAGGGAGAGTCTGTTTCGATTTCTATTATTGAATGAATCAGAGCAATTTTGTTTCATTTTTTTTTCTTTCAGCCAGTTACTTCATTTTTAGCTCAACTATGTTTGCACCTGCATCCTTGTGGTGTACCTGTGATAATTTTAGAAAATTTTCACTTTATTTTCACTTAAGTTATTTTGGTTTGGGGGTATGTTTTACTTTCCACCCTAAACCCCCAAGTTCTGAGATATATTTCAATGTTTCTGTGAAATTAGAAACATTGACCTGGTGATGAAGAATGAGAAGTACAACCACAGCAGGCTGTGACATACTTATTTGCAAAGATAGGGGCTTTGGGCTTGTTTGTAGGGAATTTTAGGAAATGAGTAGAATAAAAAAATCTAGAAATACTATGGTAATTCACTAAGTATACACATCAGTTATGTATTGTAGACTAAGAAGAATCCACTCCAAAACTTTGTGGCTTAAAATAATGACCATTTACACAGAATTAGGGTAGGGCAGTTCTGCTGCTGCTCTTGTTGGGCCTGAGGTCACTAATGTGGCTGCTGCCCTCTGAAGGCTCCAGTCAGAGCTAGTCTAGGGAATCTCTAGGTCTAGGCATCTAGCTGGGACAGCTCATCTGACCACCACATGACCTAGCAGCTAAGACCAGGTAAATACCGTCACGTGGAGATGTTACGTTTCAAGAAGGTGAGAGCTGCAACGCTACTTGAGGCCTAGGCTTAGAAGTCCCACAGGGTCACTCTGCCACATTCTGTTGATCAAGGAAAGCCACAAGCCCAGTCCGGAGCCAAGAGTTGAAAGTAGGCACCACCTTTTTTTTTTTTTTTTTTTTTTTTTTTTTTTTTCAATGTTTATTTATTTTTGGGACAGAGAGAGACCGCATGAACGGGGGAGGGGCAGAGAGAGAGGGAGACACAGAATCGGAAACAGGCTCCAGGCTCCGAGCCATCAGCCCAGAGCCTGACGCGGGGCTCGAAGTCACGGACCGCGAGATCGTGACCTGGCTGAAGTCGGACGCTTAACCGACTGCGCCACCCAGGCGCCCCGGCACCACCTTTTGATGGGAGATGCTGCAGAGTACATATGACAGGTCATGCTGACTGCAGGAGCGGGGTGGGGGTATTGTTGTGGCCATCTTTGCAAACAGTATGCACCTGGCTTTTGTACATCAGCCCTTGTTAGCCATGACTGACAAACTCTGCTGTGAAGCACAGTGTTAAGTGCTTCCCTGTGTTATCTCTTAGGATAACTAACGCCTCTATGAGATAGGTACTATTATTACTCCCATTTTAAAGTTGTGATAAGTGAGCCTTAGGGAGGTTAAGTAACTTGTCCTAGATCTTTAAGAAGTTAGAGGCAGATCCTAAAAGTTAAGGAAGGTTTTCCCTGGATCAGTGCTTCTTAAATCCATTGCTAAAGAAACTTTCCTGGGAGAGAGGGAGAGGGAGGAGGGGGGAAGAAGCATATCTTTAAAAATCTCAAAAGCAAAATCCAATATCTCAAAATTTTACATGAATTCTGTAGCCTACTCCATGGTAACATCCCTTTGTTTTTGTCATAAAACTAATAGTTTAAAATTACTTGTCAAATTACCCCTCAAATCTTTGAGAAAATAGACTCTCCTAGACAGAAAATCATGACTGATCAGTTAAAGGTCTTCCATTGTAAGTAGTAGAAACAAAATCGGGCTACTAGAAGCAAAAAAGGAGGTTATTCGAAGGATGTGGTGTAGCTCTTCTAAATGACAATAGAGAACCAGCAGGCCTCAGTGGACAGTCTTCTCAGGGTGCTGGATTTATTAACGTGTCTAACTCTTTTTAACTACATTCTCTACGGAGAGATCAGACCGGATCCTGGAAGGTGTCTTGGTTCCTGTTTCACCAAGAAACTACCTGCTGGTGGTGGTGTTTTTGGGGGGCGTGGCGGTGTTCCCCAGCAGGGGAGTGAATGCAAAGTTGATAGAACCCACAGATGTCTACTGTCTGAACATTTGTACGAGCTGCTTTGTGCATTATTAAACACATCTATTTGCAACCCCTTCATGACCTCTGGTTCACCCCTTTCCCTCCCAACCCCACATGCCTCTGAAGGTTCTTAAACCCCAGTTTGAGAAGTACTTTTGTGACTCTTCACCATCTATTTCCATTTCTGCTAGTAATAAGTGCTTATCATTCTAAGAGCAATAACAAATTTATCCATTTTTTGCATAGTCATCTTTTCTATCGTTTCCCTGATTTTTAAAAGAAAATCATATGAATTGTAATTTGACCACTTATTGGTTACAGGGTTCTTGTTAGGAACATTTTTACCTAGTGCATAGTGATCCCCTTAGGATACAGATAAATGTAATTATTGGCTCCTGCACTAAATGTTCCCCATACTGCCCTGCTTTTCTTTTTCTGTCTTCTCCAGGTGTCTACTGGCTGTCATTGTAACCTTGCTACTTAAAAATAAGCGTTTTATTTTTTTGTTATTTAAACTGTTTTTTTAATGTTTTATTTATTTTTGAGAGAGCACAAGCAGGGGAGGGGCAGATAGAGAGGGACAGAGGATCTGAAGCGGGCTCTGCATTGACAGCAGCTGGCCTGAGTTGGGGCTTGTACTCACGAATCACAAGATCATGACCTGAGCGGATGTCAGATGCTCAACTGACTCAGCCAGCCAGGTGCCCCACAAATAAACATTTTAGGTCTTACAAATAAACATTTAGGTCTTATGGGCTGAAGGAACAACCTGCATCTGTATAGCCTTTAGCGTAGAAGTTAAACTATGTTTCTAGCAGTAAAATGTGCAAGTGCAGTGTGATTTTTATTCAGAGCATTTTCAAACACACACATATATATATACACTCCTATGTATCAAATATACATGTATCAAATATATATACATATATATTCCTATTTTGTTTAATAACCACTTGAAGTCAGAAAAACGTATTTTCCCTATTTTTCATCTAAGCATATGGTTTTAGGAAAGGTGAGCCATTTCCCCTGCAACAAAGGACTGTTGGCAGGAAAACCGAGGTGTGACTACTCATGCCTTTGCTGAGGACTGTTCAAGAAGCCTCTCTTGTGGTTTCTCAAGTTTTGGGGATAAATTGGAGCTAAGTGAATATATGTTTGGCCTTTATTACTGTGGGGACATTGTTGTGTGATGCAGGTAGTTCCCTTTCGTTTATTCTTGACGTGGAGGACCAGTGTGTTTTATTTCCCCACAGTCCGGTGAGAAGCTGATTTGTCCCACCTCTTCTTGCCACGATTAGATTAGCTGGTTTTGAAGTACCTCTTGGAGCCCTTCAGTCTGGCCTTTTTTATTTTACCACGGTGTAATTACCACCTTGTGGTGTAGTCACTTGTCTTCCCAGCCCCTGGACTCTTCTTTTAAACGGTCTGCTCTGTTTTCTGCTGTTCAGGCCCACCACTACGAGTGATTTTGAGAGGAGTACTTGACACTTTTGTTTAATTAGGGTCTCTAGACAGTGTTCTGTTAACAATACGGTTGTATGTTAGGCCCTTTCCCCTTGCTTGTAAGGTGTCAGTGTAGTTTGCACCATTAACACGGTCATAGTGGTAATGTGGTGGTTCTTATTTGGCCAGAACTTTTTGTAAATAGACACATCTTAAGACTTTCTCCGTAGCTTCTAGAACCTTGTCCTGACATTTAACACTAGTTTTTAAATGCTCTTTTCCTGATTTGTTTCAGGTGCTGATTTCTACAGCTTCTAAACATGTTAACACTAGTCAGAGACTGTCTTTTTTTCTCTTGCATTTCTAGTTTGCCTCATTTTTGCAGGTATTTTGAACCTTTAGAATCCTTGAACTTAATCCTGAAAAGAGTGCCTACGAAGTTCTTCATTGAAAAATGCATACTTTTCATCTCTTTATATTTTGTTCACTGCTGTGTTTAAGTTTTAACATTCTGAACACAAAGACATTTTTAGTGTTTTGGAACATAGCTCGTCTTAGCTGCTTTGAAAGGAGATATTTAAGACTCCATTTGCTACTCCCTCCACTACCCATCCTGTTGATTATTATTGTTCTGGTACTTATAAC